CAGTTCTACTCGTACCCATCAGATTTGGCGCTGGTCCGCGACGGACCGAGGCTGGCGAAGATGTTCCAGTTCGTGCGGTGGCGGTTCGCCGATGATCCGCTTTCTGCCGAGGAGGAACTGGAAATGCGCGCCTCGCTGGAAAAACGATTTGGGATCGAGGATGTCCCGCAGATCACATATCCGCTGCTCGAAGTGCAGGCTCTGCTGCCCCGGACCAACTTCCTGACGCCGTCCCAAGGATCAGGGACACCCCGGCAAACGATGCATCTGCTCCCGCGACTGTCTTATGTGATGCTGTGTTCCAGGACAGAAACTGAATATTCGCTGCTGTTGCCGTGCATCTTGCGCTCGTTGGATCTCACACTGACTGTAGAATCGATCAAAGAGACACTCTTTTCGGGCACGCGAATTGCGGGGGTGCCTCGGAATCTGCTGACGGAAGCACTGTGTGCACCGACTGCCCAAGAACAGGTCAATTATCAGGTCGGTTCTGGTTGTGTTACTACCGTTCCAGGCCGACGCTGACGGCGATATGCTAGCGCATGGAAACATTGGGTGACACGGTGCTCAAATTCATGGCCTCGATCCAGCTTCTTGCCGAGTATCCATTGTGGCACGAAGGATATCTCACCCAGAAAATGGGGCATTCAGTATCAAATGTTCGATTGGCCAAGGCGAATCTGCAGCACGAGCTGTTCAAGTGGATCATCCGAGGTCATCACTTGTGTTCTATCCTTGCTCATTCGCTCATGTCGCATCACCACTAGATCGACTGCTGGGCAGAAAGTGGAAGCCTCGCTATTTCTCAACGGACGTCGCCCAGATGGATGTGCAGGACACCCCTGTCATGAAAAATGGTCCGCTAGCGAGGAAAAAGAAGGAGAAGAAGAACAGCGGCGAGCTTTCTACCAAAGGCAAGTGGCCTGTGTTTGAGAATTTCCTGTTCTAATGGGTTGTATAGTGCTGGCAGACTGTATCGAGTCGCTGATCGGCGCAGTGTATCTGCACGGTGGTTTCGACTACGCGCTGGAATGTGCGAGCTTTTTCGACCTGAACATCAAATGGGAGCCATTGCCGCAACGCATCGAGACTCTGCTGAGTCGGGTCGAGACCGCAACCGAGCTTCCCAAGCAAGTTGACTATGTGGAGCAGATGCTGGGATACACTTTTGAACGCAAGCTGCTGGTCGTGGAGGCCCTGACGCACGCGAGCTATCAGCAGGACCTGCGCACCGTATCGTACGAACGTCTCGAGTTTTGCGGGGACGCCGTGCTCGACATGATTGTGGGCGAGTACTTGTTCCGAGCAGAGGGCAAAAACTACTCTCCCGGGCACATGTTTCTGCGCAAATCGGCGATGGTCAATGCACACATCCTGGCCTTCATCTGCCTGGGCACCCATCTCGAAGTGACCAGCGCCATGCCGCATTTGTCTGGCTCGCGTTCCGATCGCAGGACTGACCGCACTCTGACGATGCAGCAACACTCGCGGTCGATCTATCTCTATCAGTGCCTGCTGCACACGAACCCGAAAATCATGGACGACCAGCAGGCGGCCTTTGTCCGCTTCCAGCAGCATCGGGCCGAGATCGAGGAGGCGTTGGCGAGCAACGACGTGGGCGCGCCTTTCCCGTGGACGGCGCTGTTCCGGATGCAGGCGCCCAAGTTCCTGAGCGACATGATCGAGAGTCTCGTCGGCGCAGTTTTCCTCGACTCGCAGGGGGATCTGGACGTCGTGCGCGGGGTCTTGCGCAAACTCGGGCACCTGCAGATCCTCGAGCACGTCGTCGCGCGGGACATGGATGTCCAGCATCCCGTTTCGCGGCTGGCGATGTGGGCGAGCAAGAAAGCCAAGAATGTCGCGTACGAGTTCTTGACCGAGAAGGGCCGGATCAGCTGTGCGGTGTCCATCGACGGCGCTGTCATCGAAGAGACGCGCGCCACCGACAACTACAAAGGGAGATCTACCAAAGACGAAGTCAGATTGGTCGCCGCGGACAGAGCCGTCAAGTTATTCCGGCTGCGGCTGGCGAACGACTCGGCGAAAGCAGATTCCAAAAAGAGGAAGCATACAGACTCGATGTTCTAATACTTAGGATGTATACAATGTATTATACGGTGCAGTACAGGTCGTGTCAGCCCCGATTTCAGTGCTCGGTCTCCTCCCAAGTACGACCAACAGTCTTGACCAAGTCAGCCTCGGTCACCTGCTTGCCACTCGAGAAGTATCCGGCTGCGATCTTGGCATCGATTTCGACTCGCGAATCGGGAGGAATGAGGTGGTCTGCAGGATCGATCAACAGGTGAAAGTGCGCACGGAAAGTCAAACGCACCAGGAATGTCATAACGGTGCAAGATCGGGATCCCACTCTTCACGATCGCATCGTACTTCATGTCGCTCATCGACACCATCTTGTCAACCTTCTTGACCCCGAGCCAGTGCAGCACATCGGGCATCAGCGCTTGGAACCGCATGTCTTTCACACCCGCAATCATCTCCGTCGACTTGAAGTACTTGTCCGCCGAATCGCCGCCGCGTTTGCGCAGATTGTACACCAGGTACTTCGTTACCTCCCCGAGAGCCCGGCCTTCCTTCCGGAAATAGACCACGAGGCCGACTCCGCCTCGCTGAGCACCCCGAATGCATTCCTCGATTGCGTAAGTCAGATAGGGCTTGCACGTGCAAATGTCCGAGCCGAAGACGTCCGATCCGTTGCATTCGTCATGCACTCGGAGGGTTAGTTCTTTGCTCTCGTCCCGTAAAAACGCGGGATTTCCAACTGCATCTCTTCAGCTCAGTCGCATCGTTGTTGAATCGATGCTTACAGATATAGGCCGTCAAACCACCGATAGGGGGGAGGAAGACCTTGATATCGGGACGGGTGATCAGCTCCGGATAAGAACCGCCAGTCTCTTCGAATAGAGCGCGGCGCAGTAACAGCTCGGAGCTAGTAGGGCATGGATTAGAAGAATCCCTGACTAGAGCCAAGAAAGCAGCGCACATTCCAAATCGCTCGGCGACCCCGGGAAGATGCCATACAGGCTCGACCGCAGCCTTGCTCACCGTCACCTCGACACCCGACTCGGCGAGCCCCGGCAGGTCTGCTGTCTTCAGCACGATCTTGCCGTCGATCTCCAGTTCTCCCCGTCGCACAGACTCGTCCAACTCGCTCATCTTGATGTGCGCACGCGTGATCGCGATCGACGGCCGCGCGTCCAGGCCAAGCTCCTCGATCTCCCGATTGAACACCGTCTGCACCAGATGCCCATACGGGTCCATGCTGACGATCGGCCCGTAGTTCCCGCTCGCGGGTTTGTCACTCATCGTCCACCCACCCGCCGATCCCCACGCCGGATTGGGCGGAACCTCCACCGGCGGCTCCGTCATCGTGTAATCGGGCTTGTGGTTCGGCGATAGGGAGCCCATCGCGATGGACAGTGCGCGGTAGATCGAGTACGAGCCGCTGTGCGCACCCAGCGCGTTGCGCATCTTGATGCTGCTCGGCAGCCGCGAGCACACCACGGGTCCACGCTCGGTCGGGGCCAATGCGCCCCACTGCAGGGGGTACGGCGTGATGTTGTGTTGGCCGGGATACGTCGTCAGGTTGACACGCCCGGGGTACAGCACACGCTCGCGCTCCTTCTCTTTGGTGGTGACGTCGGAGAGGATGTGATGCAGCGGCACAGAGGAGACCGAGCTAGGGGAGGTCCCCAGATCGCCGATCTTGTCCGAGCTCGATGAGACCGACCTGCCCGCCGGGACGCTGATAGGCCTGGTGCCGTTGCTGGGGAGCGCGGGACCTCCATTCGTCTTGTTCGCACCCGTCAGTGAGTCGAGCTGCCCCTGCATCGTTTCAAGTTGCGCCAGTATCTTGCTCAAGACCAGATCCGACGACATGGTGGTTACGAAGCAAGTCGTGTATCGCACGTGTCGTATCGCTAGACTTTGGCTTGTGTATACATATCACGGCGAATCTCGCCTACATAATCGCACAGAACGGCGAAATCATCAGGCGGTGACAGGCATGGTCATTCGAAGCGCACACAAAATGAACAGAACAAATTCAAAGTCACACAGAATTGGCGGGAAACCCGTACTTTATTGGGCATCTCAATATACACTACACTACTGCTTGACGAAGATGTAAGTGGACACTGAAAGCGGGGGTGGCCTGGGGTAATTGATTTGGAACTGCATGACAAGCCTGAGGATGATTGTCAGTGACGAACGAAGGCACGAGACAGACACGTCACGTACATGCAGAGACTGTAATGTTTCAGCACTTCCTAGATAATCGTCTGGTCCAGAGGATCGTCTCGGAAGTGCGCAACACTACAGATTCAATCTCATCGGAAAATATATCCGACAAGATACGGCGTAGAACACCGTTGCGCGACAAAGCGCGCAAAGGAGAGCAGTCTCGTCGCTGTCCCATATCCTGTGCATAGTATACACAGGAATCTTGACTGCAATACAGTCCACGTTACTCGCCAAAGCGAGTAAAAAACCCCTGCGTCGGCCAACGCAACTGGGGCGTCCATCCACCCTGGGTCCTTGGGTGGAGGTGTCGGTGCGAACAACCAGCAGTTGTCGCGATTCCGCCGGAAGAGACATCTCGACCGGTTATTTGTTCGAGTGCGAGTTCGCACTCGAAACAACAGTCAACGAGGTATACAACCTGTGACTCGATGCCAGAACGGCAGTGCCTTCTGGTCTTTCAGGCCCGCATCGCAGGCTACGTCCCGTCGCGAACGGGAAAAGAAGCTCGTCGTGAGCTTACGACGGCGTACTGAAGTAAGAATTAGGAATGTGGGACGGGCCGACGAGAAACGCTAAAACATACCGAGCCGAAGGGGTCAATCCAAGAACCAAAGAAGTGGCACTGCCTGCCGAGTCATTCTTATAGTAGTGATCGGTCGGAGCTTGAAATAACTGATGCGCATCATGGGCTTGGATCCTGGTGATCCGCCATCTAATCTGCCAACGATCTTCCCGGTCTCCTTTCCCTTTGAGCCTCTAGTCGCACCGATCTATCGGAAGAACAGAAGCAAAAATTGAATACCCTGCGCATACGGGAGCTGTACGGCGGGCCCGATACTCAAGTCTCGAATCCAGAGAAGCTCACGGTGCATTTCCCCTCACAACGGGCTCTCTTCGTTCGGGAGCTCAGTTACATGCTACGTGTTGTGCACGTTATCGTAGCCTGATGAAGCAGATTCACCGCGTCTTCTATTCAGACTTTGTTTCGGCTGTCCCGCTTACCCTTGCCCTGAGCTCTCCGCGTCTGGCAATGATTTACATTGCCTGGAAGATCCTGGCTTGCTCGACATGCTTCGTTCAAGCGAAAATCCTCGTGCGATTTGTGATAGTCTGCTCGTACAGTTGCCTGGACTGGTTGCTGTCCACTCTGTGGGACCAGGCTAACTCGCTTGGACGGTTTGCTCCACTTACCGGGCTCATAAGCACAATGTGACCTGCAACATGGTGCGGGGCAAGGTACACGACTTTGGTGGGCACTGTCTGACTGTTGCAAGGCGTATCAGTGGCATTGGCATCCACAATCCCACATTCCTCTCGCCTTTTACTAGAGGAATCCGTGTCGTGTGCTAAATGAAGTCACCATGCAATTTTTCCGCTTCTTCGGCCATGTGGCTAACCTACCTTTTTGCATCTCTTGGCGTGCGGTTATACAATGTATCCCACTACCCTCTGAATCAGGTAGTTGGATCGACCCCCGTCGCGACTAGTAGCCCTGCCAGCTTTGTAAACAAGTGCAAGTGTAATCGATTGTAAGTAATGTAAATGCAAGTTTGACAAGTAAACAAAATATGTATGTTGAAGCGCAGCGACTCATTACACACCCTGTGGCGTTGGTTGCTGCTGGATAGCCCCCAAGCTAACGTCACGACTTTGACCCTGCATATCCTGGGAGGCAATTGAGACTGTGCCCTAGAGTAGCATGGGACCACGCACCACTCGTTGCTTTTTGACTGGTCGCGGTCGCGCACCCGCGATCCCAGCCTTAGCGGCAGTGATGACCGGAACAGTGCCGCCTCCATTTGCAGCGGACCCAACTGCCCCATTCATACCACTTGCACCTGATGGCATTCCATTCGCGTGTGGCTCTAGTTCCCTTTCTCGCTTCAGGCTTCGCTCCGGGTGTGCGCTCGTCGGTGTCCCTGTGCCAAGGCTGCTGGTCGGTGTCCCAGTTCCCTTCCGCTGAGGAGTCCCGACTCGGCCGGGGACGATAACAGGTGGAACTGACGGCCGGGGAGTGCCGGCGCTTCCTCGCGGGGTCCCTGCTGTCGTACGGGGTGTTGATGCACTTGGGCGTGGGGTGCCGACAGAGCCGGCGGCAGGAGAGGGGGCGGCAGGAGAGGGGGCTGCGATGCCAGACTGCGCATTGTGGATCTGCTGTTTCGCCAAACGTTTGAGCTCCTTCTACAAAATCGAGTAAATCTCTGTAGATTTGATAGACCCCCAAACGCACTCGTTTCTTGCGGTCTTCCCGTGCTTGTGCGGACTCCTGGATGAGAGCAGCAGTATTCCACTGAGTTCGCGAGTAAGAACAGTCTGTGTGGGCCGAGGCTCAGAAACCAGTACGCACACCCTTGAGGCCCTCGGGTGAGACCTGGAACGCCTCCTGCTGCGTCCTCTCATCGAATTTAACGATCTTAACATGCTGTTTCGGGGGCATCTGCATTATGGTCGTGAGGTAGTCGTCCTTTTTCATCGAATGTCGTCCTAACAATCAATCAGCGCCATAGAAGGGATGAGACGTCGCCGACCACGCACCAGGGACACCCTTGATGAGGTGCTTATACGAGTTTTTCTTCTTTTTCTCTCCCTTGGCCAGCCCACCGTCCTCATCGTCCGGTTCCTGATCTCCGGGAGTTTGGGGTACCGGGCTCCCGTTCAGTTCGCGCGCTTTGCCCTTGCCCTTGTCTGGGGCATCGGCAAAGTCTTCTGCGGCGCCGCGGACATACTTGTCGTATGCAGGGATGAGCTGGAAGCGAGCGAGGAGGTCCTGGGTGCTGGCAAGGCGAGGCGCTGGGTGTGGGGGGGCTGGAAGGCGTTAACAAGGCGCTGGAGAAGGACCAGCCGAGGTACCCTTAGGCTTAAGATAGAGGACAGTGGATGGGCCGGCTTCGGCGTTCTGCTGCGGGACCATCGAGAGCGAGGGCGTCGCAGGGAAGGACAAGAACGGCTCGGCTACAGTCACTTGTTTGCCAGTGTGCCACTGCTGTCGATCACAAACTATTGCCCCCTTTGAACCATCACCACAACGCTCTTGTACCCATCTGAATTCGAAAGACCCTTCAGAGTTCTGCCATACGGCTGTGCTTATCTCCGACTCCTCACGCTCATGGCCTCTGCGTTCTCGAAGCTCCTTGCTTTTCTACCTCAATGGCCGTTGGCGGATGTTGCGCATGATCACCAAGCCCTCACCTCATCGCAATTACGCGTTCATGTTTGGATTCTCCTAGGCCTGCGAACGGTCTATGATGTATAAGTAACTGGATATCAAATCTAGATCCGCATGGGCGCATGGGCGTGCTAGTCTGTTCGATATGCGTGCGAACCACCCTTCTTCAAGGCGTAGACTTGCATGGCAGGATCTTCGAAGCCGCAATCACTACACTCAGCCGGATTTTGATATGCACGCTGACCGGCCTACTCACGCACTGGTTTCTTTCAATCAGACTTGGCTCGAACCTTCGGATCTCCACCGTGGCACATCTCCATTCTCCCATCAGGAGCGAAGTTTCATTTCAGACACGCTCACGTAAGGCTTTGCTGCTCTATAAGAAGGGGATAAGATCGATGGATTCACTTTGGACGGAGCCTTTTTGCCAGCGGCGTAAGTCGCTTTCATGTTTCTCGTCGCAAGCTTACTCTGTTACTTGTAGCCAGGGCCTCTGCCAGATTGATCCCATCCCATTCACGGGCGGTGCCAGCAGTGCCCCATATATTTGCTGGAGCACCGGAGTGCTCCAGCAAATAGTGTGAATCGTGTCCAGGGTATTGCCCTGCACACGAGGTTCAGTCTTGCTGCCGCCACTTCCATGGCGCTAGCAAGGCAGAATGTACGTGTAATCCGATTGTCGTCCAACGTATCGAGAATTCTCACTCATCTGCATAGTTGCCCAGCTTGCCACTCCTTTGCATGAGTATTGCATTTGCAGTGGCCCGCGCGGCTTTAGACAAATCAAATGACCCAGGACAGGACAACAACACGGTGCTGCTTCTCACCGATCGTCGACAAGAGAACGAGCAATGTAGTCAAATGTACATATGTTGGCAAACAATCAACTGCGCAGTCCTTGTGCGGTCGATCATCGTCGAGGCGAATATACTTGAGATATCACGAGTCCCGGCAGAACAGTTCATCTGAAGCCCGCACACTCGGCAGGGAATGAACAACTAGACAGCATCGATTCTTCTATGATAACGAGAACATTTGCCTGGATGAGCAGCGGGTGCTCTAGGCCTCGTCGCCGCAACGTGGGACGAAAGTAGAAGACCAATTGATCACGCATACACAACTTGATGGACGCTTCCATCTCCTCCGGCCAACCCGAATCGATTTCGTTGGACGAACACCTTTCATACCCGGTGTTCTCCCAGGAGCAAGATGGAGAACAAGTCATCGCAAAAGAAGCCCGGCAGACTCTGCAAGATCGTCTCTATGTCGGCAATTTACACCCAAGCGTTGACGAGTTGCACCATGTCCTCCAGTGTCCAGGGCACCATCTTAAATGTTTGCCCAGATACGCCCTCCTCCAAATATTTTCCAAGTTCGGCAGAATAACCAAGCTCGACTTTCTCTTCCACAAAACTGGGGCTCTCAAGGGCAAGCCGCGTGGATTTGCGTTCGTGGAATATGGGAGCAGTGATGTGCGTATCCTCTCAACTACCGTATCCAAATCGAGTCTCATCCCCGGGCCTCCTATGCGTCTTTTCCCTGTCCGGCGGTTGTCTTGTGCTTGAAATCGCCCAAACTATCACAGTGCCCCGGGAGAGATTCTCAGAAGCAAGTGTGCTGATTAATTGGTCTTTCGGTATCTAGGATGCCCTCAGGGCGTTGGGCTCGGCACACGATAAACTCGTACGAGGACGAAGGCTGGTCGTGACGTTCGCACAGCAAGCGCCGTTAGACCCTGCTACCGGACTCCCGAAGGCACGAAGGTCTATGGCGGAAGCTGGGCGTCCAACCACGCTCAGTATGATCAAATCAGGCGCAGGGAGTCGACATGGAGGGTCCGTGAACTCTTTCCCTCTCCTCATGATTGACTGGCTGAGCGTTTCCGCAGAACGCACGACAAGATTGCGATGATGGAGGCAAAACTGCGGCAGATGGAACGGGCCGAAGAGTCCGAGTCGCTGGTCCATCATCCTTCTCTACCCCTTAAGCCTCTGCCCTCTGACTTACCAGTCAATCCCGGACTGCACTCTACCGATAATGCTGCGAGACAACGACAGACGCAGTCACCACTTCCCATGCCACCGAAAGTGCCACCGCCGCTGTCGTCGAGTACAATTTCCTCAAATAAGGCAAAACCTGCCGTCCGCAAGGCGGGTGCTTTGACTGGGATCAAATTTGGAAAACCGAAACCGAAAGCGGAAGAGAAATCATCGTGACCACTGTACAATAATATAACACACATGCTGTATATCATACTTTCTGGGTTAATGCTTCCATCTGGGGAAAGTCAGATTATGCGGGGAAGATAGCAAAGATGCTCACATTTTGATCGTGCGATCTCGTCCCCCGCTGACAATCTTATCAGCGACGAAGTCCACGCAGTAAACTTCGTCTGTATGGCCGGGCAGATCGTTTTTGAGTTTGTATGTTTTCAAGTCCCACGTCTAGGACAGCGCAGGAATGAGGGATGAGGCTCGACTCAAATGGCTCGAAACTGACCTTGACAGTGCTGTCCTTCCCGCAGCTGACGACGCCGCGACCGTCTGCGCTCCATGCGACACGGTAGACAGCCCCGACATGGCCGCGTAGTGTGGCGACGTACTTGCCGGTGCGGCCCTCCCAGATGCGCACGGACGAGTCCCACGAAGCCGACGCGGCCCATCGGCCGTCGGGGGAGAAGGACACATGCGACACCTGCAGCGAATGGCCGACCAGACGACACACGGGCTTGATCTTGGTGCTGGGCGCACTCGGGATCTCAGCCAACGGCCCTTTCGGGAAAGGAGACCACATAAACAGCGTGTGGTCGTCCGATCCAGAGATGAGCACTTCTGGAGTGGTGCTCAGCACAGCGGTATATCTCTCGAGAGCGCGCTTTTGCGCTGCGGGGTGCTCAGATCAGACCAGACCGGGACTGCGGTGCCGCGTTTTCACTCACCTTCTTCATCAGAAGCGGGTTTCTTGCCAGTATGGTCGAAGGGACCGGTGCGAAGAACAAAGTCAGTATTGAGGGCAAGTGTTGTGACCCAGTGAGCATGGTCCTTGAGAATATACAATTGCCGGCCCTGTTGGTGATCAGCTGAGAATTCCACCCATTCATCACTAGTGCATACCGCCTCAGCCTCCCAGACGCGGACAGTGCGATCGCTGCTGGCCGTGTACAATACACCCTTGCCGACGCCTCCCCACTTGACCACGTTCACGCTAGCTGTGTGGCCACCGAGCGTGTACTCTGCCCGCCGTGTGAGCAGAGACCACACACGCACAGTCCCGTCCTTTGAAGACGATGCTATCCGTGGTGACGTTGGGTTACTATACACGTTGAGATTGATTGAACCGCGCGGTAGAGAGAGACGGACGCACAGATGGATCGGCTCCCAACACAGCGAGGTAATCCACTTAGAGTGACCTTTCAAAGCTTCCCCGAAAGGCTTGCCCGTCTTCGGATCCCAGATTCTGACCTGCACATCGTGTCAGAGGTATCACCGCAGAAAGCACAATGCACGAACGTGGCCATCGTGGCCCCCCGTCGCCAGCCTACGCTCCAGAGCCTCCCACTCCACACAGAGCACCCATCCCTTGTGGCCAGACAGCGTATGCGACGGCAGTTCCGTGTCCAAGTTCCATAGCCGCGCGGTCGTATCGCCGGATCCGGTGGCCAGAAAGTTACCGGTAGGGGAGAAGGATGCACAGAGGATGGGGGAGGAATGGCCTTCGCAGCGTCAGTCAACTTGGCCCCGCAAAAGAGCACGATGAAGCGCACCAGATAGCGTGGACGAGCACCGCGTCGGAGGACGCACCCGGAAGACACTCTGCGGAGAACAGTGCACGACGAACACATCTTCCTCGGAGAATGCTTGCGAGACGATCGCGTGGTTCAGCACGTCCGTTTCTATCGATTTCGAGATCACCACTCGCGTCGGCGCGCCAGGGATGTGCTTGATTTGATCTTCCGGCAGCGCAATGTGGAAGCCGAAGGGTACAGGATCTTCCTAGACCCTTAGAATGAGATTGTACACAGAGGCGCGGAAGAGCCGGCAGACCTGAGGGCTCAATTTATTCAGCAATCCCTCCAGAGCTTCTCGCGACAGATTGGCCGGGAGGGTGACTGCAGGCGCAAGCGGTTCTCCATTATCCTCCGACACGAATTGAACAATGATGTTTGAAGAGGCTTTGACCGGCTCTGGTTGGGGTTCTGGTACACCATGGTAAAGTTTCTGTCGTTTCGGCGGAGGGAGCAAGGTGGCCATTAGCCGTGAACGCCTGCGACAAAACCGAAATTTTTGAAGTGGTGGCTGTGGGAGGGGATATCTGATTCGAATGATGTCACATTCAACCAAGCGTGACCGTAAAGCAAATTATGGCTCTAAGTACCACTGTATCGCTCTGGGCGGCTTCGATTCTTGACAATGGATAGTGGGAACAAACTCATCAGAAGAAATCGAAAGCGACAATATTCAAGTGTAGCGCGGCTGATATCGTCGATTGTACCTCGGGCTGCAAAACTGGCTATCGACTTGGACATGCCGTTTCTTGACTAATTGAATCCCCTTCTTGAGATGCCTCACAAAGGATTTATTCACGGTCTCGACTCTCGGGTAGGTTCCTGCAGAATACTTATCATGATATCAATCCGACACAGCGGCGTCTTGATTCTGCACGATGCAGCCCTCGGCCCGGACGCCAAATACTCTCCATGCCAGTCTCAAACTATGGAGAGCAATGCTGGTGCTTGTTACCATCCTCTCAGTCTACATGCGCCCAATTTCGCTGAAGAGCTTGCCCGGTTGCCCATGTCCCCATGCACTTCCCACACAATCAATCGACATGCTGTTGGACGGTCCGGTGCCCTAACAATCGGTGCCGCTTGCAGGCTTCCCAGTTCCCATGTCGCTTAGGTCTCTTCCATCATATCCGGTGTCATCTGGTCTATTGCGAGGGGTCAGACGACCTCCCACTGCCGAGCATATATGAGTCTGCGTAGGCAGAAGAGCGGGGTTCAGCAGACCACCGGCCCAACTCACACTCCATACTTACTCCGACTCATCACTCAATGGCCGGCGGTGGTACATCATCTCAGCCCTTGTCCTCTGCGCGCCGCAAAAACCTGGCCGGAAAGTCTGGATGGGTGGGTGCTTCTCCCTCGCCTCCATCGAGCGCGCATAAATGGGTGACAGGCGGGCTTAGTCGAGAATCGGCGCGTGTTTGTGATGGCGGTGTTCGCTTCGTTGGGTGGATTGTGAGTTGCTATTCCCGGTGCTCCTGCTCGTTTCGCTGACGCTACTTCGCATAGACTCTATGGTATGTTGTTTCACACTCTCGTTGTCTCATGTCTGCTGATGCTGCGTGTAAGGTTATAACCAGGTGAGTTGCGCCGCCGATAGCACTTTGACTGGTACTCAGGGCGGTTAGGGTGTCTTCTCGGGTGTCCTGGGGTGCGTCTTGTCCTGCTGTCTCGAGTACTTCTCACTGACGTTTGTCTGCTCAGAATGCGCAATTTTGACGATGCGTCCGTATCCGGTTCTTCCATCTTCGCTGTACATTGTGTCTTAACACCGACCAGGATGGGAAATTCTGTCACGGACTCCGGAAAGAAGGGTTGGCTCGTGTCCATCCTGGAGCTCGGCGCTTGTAAAGAGATCCCCACTCATTGGACTCCCGATACTGACTTTCTTTGCTAGGGCTCGGTGTTCTTCTGACGGGTTAGTTCTTATCTTCCCGCGCTCTTCCTCCATGACGATTGAGCAGGTTATATTGCCGACAAAATCTCGCGCAAGTATGCGGTTGTGGTTGGTAAGACGGACTGTTTATGCGAGTCCCCCCCAAAAAATCTAAGACTGGACAGCTGTGATCGTGTTCTGCATCGGTGTGATTGTTCAAACGACAGCTCATGCCTCTCCGTCTATCTACGGCGGTCGTTTCGTGACGGGTCTCGGAGTGGGGTCCTTGAGCATGGTTGTCCCGCTGTACAATAGTGAAATATCGCCCCCGGAAGTGCGCGGCAGTCTGGTCGCCCTGCAGCAATTGGTCTGTCTTGTCCCGCTGTCCGCCGTTTTCGTTTTCTCGCTCAACGCTCTTAGGCAATCACTTTCGGCATCATGATCAGCTTCTGGATTGATTATGGCACAAACTACGTATGTTTCTGATTCTCGTGATAATCCACATACCTGGACAACTTGGTATCATAGATTGGTGGCACCGGGGCGACTCAAAGTGAAGCTGCCTGGAGAATCCCTTTGGCGCTCCAGCTCGTCCCGGCGCTGTTCCTCGGCATTGGGATCCTTTGGATGCCATTCTCACCGCGGTGGCTGGTCAATCAGGGGCGGAACGACGAGGCTCTGGCTGTGCTCAGCCGTGTTCGCGGGCAGTCCTCCGATTCCGAGGTTGTCCAGATTGAATACCTGTGCGTTTTCAGACCAGGCAGTACCATAACGACCTGACATCTCAACGAAACCCAGGGAGATCCAGGCGCAGTATCTGTTCGAGAAGGAGACCCTGGAGAACAAGTTCCCTCAGTATCAGGATGGCAGTTTCTCTTCCGATTTCAAACTCGGGTTCTTTGCCTATTTCAGTTTGCTCCAAGAACGCAGCCTGCTGTATCGGGTTGCTGTTGGATCGCTTGTCATGTTTTTCCAGCAATGGACAGGCAAGTCTACTTTCGCTTCTACCTCGAGAGGTGTGTACTGAGCGGGATCAGGAATCAACGCAATCCTGTATTATGCTCCCAGCATCTTCCAGAAACTGGGGTTGACCGGAAATACCATCTCCTTGCTTGCGACAGGTGCGTCGTTGGCGATCTCAGTCAGGACTGGCTGCGTCTGACCGCGTCTTCTAGGTGTTGTCGGGATCTTGTAGGCATTGCGCTCTGACGAGACGAATGGGGCTCTAATGAGATGCAGGATGTTCTTGGCGACGATCCCCGCCGTGCTGTGGATCGATAAGCTCGGGAGACGTCCGATTCTCATTTCAGGCGCCTTTGTGATGGCGATCTGCCATTTCATCGTAGCCATCCTCACTGGGCTGTATCAGAATTCGTGGCCCGATCATGTCGCCGCTGGTTGGGTCGCCTGCGTCTTTGTGTGGATTTTCGCCATTGGTTTCGGATACTCGTGGGGTGTGATCTTCTCGCTGCGTGTATTCGTTTCTTCATCTACTAATCTGCCTCATCAGGTCCTTCTGCTTGTGCGTCCTCATTTTCCCGTTCTACTTCGCAACGGTCCTCAGCACATTCACAGGGGTCATTGTCGCTGAGGTAAGCACCGTGATGTGCGATGTTCGTTGCTGACGAGGCGGAAGATATGGCCACTTTCTGTGAGTGCCAATCTCTTGTCTGAATTAATCATTGCTTATTCTCGTTTTGCGCAGGTTCGTGGGAAAGGTCTTTCCATTGCAGCGTCTTCAAATTGGGTTTGTCTTTTCGTGGCCACTTGGAAAACTTTCATTACGAGCATCCTCAGATGAACAACTTCATTGTCGGGCAAGTCACACCGACGATGCTCCAGCACATTGTCAGTCCCTGCTTACCCACGTGTCGATGCACTAACCTAGTGCCAGGGTTTTGGTACATTTGTGTTCTTCGGCGCATTTTCTCTGATGGGCGGGCTTTTCGTTTTGTTTTTCGTCAGTCGCATGCGTGATGTTGGCGCCTGGACCATGCACACTCATGCTCTGTTCAGGTACCGGAGACAAAAGGAAGGACGCTCGAAGAGATGGAAGAAGGTGCGCCGGCTCGGAACCGACGCGGCCCTAACCTACTGAACGTGGTCCAGTATTCAGCGACAGCGCCAAGATTGCACTGGAAGATCAAGCGCGCCTCGACGCTATATATAAACGTCTCGGGCTTCACGATGCGTCGACCACGGAAAAGAACGATATCGAGGACAAGGCGGCAGAGGATAGGATTTCGAACAGTGTAGAATAGTGTTTTCACAAGTGCTTAGTTTACGATGTACGAGTCTTACGAGATCCAGCTTGAGGATGTTTTGACGACCCTGAGAATAAGAGATCAGCATTCCGCAGTCTATTGAAGGTGTCGGAGATCAGAAGTCGATTGAGTATCCTCAACCCAGTAGGGTATAGGTAGTCTAACATGCTTTTGACTTGATGCCAGAGGCCATCACAAGAGAGAGAGAGAGAAATGAAGTGAGGACCAACCTTTAACATGAGGCAAGCGAGAGGTTTTGGACACTTGCGGTTGGTGACGATACCTAGTGTGCGCAAGTTGTGGAAAAGAGCAGAGAACGAAAACGCTGAGACGGGCCGTTACTGATGTTCTTTGTCACAACGACTCTCATCACGTGCAGGAGATCTGATCGGGCCGCTGCGCCTCACTTCAACTAGGCCAACACACACCGCCGATGCCTCGTGGTCTTCTCGTATTCAAATACCAGCCGTAAGAGGGCAGGCTCGGGCATCTAGAGTGCAAAGATCAATGTATGTCTCCCGCTCATTTCCGTAATCGACATGGATCGGGTGCGCATGTCTTGTCGCCTGCTTCCTGATATCGTAGTGTTGGCAGTTGTCCTTGTTGCTCACCAGTCCCTTGTTCTTGCCAGTACATAAAGGAATCCAGCGCTCGCATCTGATTCCCACACTCGACCACCGCGCGCAGCCTTCTCATCGTTTGCTTGTATCGCACAGTATTTCGGGTGCGATATGGCGGCCACTGGATTTCCTCCCGCCCGCATCGACATAATATCACCCGATCCTGGCAGGCGTCACAAATCCCCCATCACACCCGCCACTACCGCCGGTGTCACTGGTATCGTCTACCCTTCGCCTGTCGACGCGCCGCCTCGACCGCCCCCCTTGCCGCCCAAACGACGCCCGCCCGGGCATCGATTGTCCCGCATCGAGTCTGTGTCGTCTGTGACGTCGCAGGACTTCATCCAGATCTCGGACGACATCGTGGCACTTCCGCAGCTGGAGGACGATGCTATCCTGGACGATCTGTGGAAGTCGTTGCGTGCAGACAAGGAGCTCAAAATGCACAAGGAGGTCTCCAAAGTTAAATCCCTGGAGGAAAACAAACCAATTATACCTCCGATCACCGAAGTTGTCCCACCCCGCGCGGCATCGAGTTCGAAAACGAGGTTGGTCCAAGGATTGTCGATACTGTGCTGTTTGCTGAGCCTACGATACAGCACACCCGCCCTTCAGCATGCACGGACTGCATCGATTAGCAGAAGCACCTCGTCCCCGCACCGCTCGCCGCACACGCCGTCGCCGCTTTCCAGGCAGAGCCATAGTCCGCCTCGTACGGAACATTCACAGTCTCACGCCAACCGAAAGTCGCTGCTAGAGGACGTTGTGCCTGAGACTTGGGTTCGGACGGCTCCTCCGAGTATCGTGTCCCCTCCCCCTCCTTCGCCACCGCCACCTCCTCCAAAGGCAAAGACAGTCAAGAAGAAGAGATCTGTGTAAGCGAGCTACGTTGATGATCGATTTAGGCTAACCGAGAGCAGAGTGTCGTACAAGACGGTGCCAGAACGGAACTTTCAAGTTGCTATATTTGATCTACGGGGCGTCGACCGAGACGACATCCGCGTGACCTACAAACGAGATCACCTCATCGTTTCGTGGGAGATATGGGAGGTCGAAGATTGGGAGGAAGAGGACTGTATCGCCCGCAAGACACTCGAGCGAGTGTATCATAGAATCATTCCCCTTGCGCCCGGGACAAAGGTGCTTGCCGATTGCCGTTGAATGATGCCTAAAACTGACTGCCGTATCCAGTTTAGTGAGGTGTACAGTACGATGAAAGGCGAGGACATGCTCTTGCGCTACCCCCTCACAGCAATGTAATAGTACTACACCCCTTGTGTGCATGTTTGTTGAAATCCAGCCGTAATACACGTGGTTTGGGGCAAGAGATAAGGAACCGGAACGCAGTAGCTGCTGACTAATAATGTGGGATAAATAAGTAGCTGTCGCGCCCTGGCTGCGCGCCCACGACCCCATCATTCGGTGCTTTGTACCACCCACCACTTTCTTTCTCATCCTATCATGACCTCTCCTCCCGAAACGTGGGATAATGAGGACGTCTCGCAAATCGATCCTTTCGTTCCTGTCTTCACTTCACACTCCCGCTCCCGTTCTTTGCAACAATCTAGTGATCTACTAGGCTCTCCGCTAACCGGAGAACATGCGCCGCTCCTCAATCGACCATCTCGCGTCAAGAAGCCGTTCTACAGGCCACGGCCGCTGTGGTGCGGTGCTCAATAATGCCGTCCGCGCGTCTCTCATTCACACGTTTCCAGGCTCGTGCCATTCGCAGTCATCTCCGCCCTCGTCGTAAGTGTTGCACTGTCCCGCCCCACTCGATCCTTATGATTCTGATGCGTCCCACAGCGCGGGATGACCCTTGCGCCTCGCATCGAAGTGTTTACTCAACTGTCATGCAGTCGGTTACATCATAGCTACAACCACACGCGCGCCATCGATCCTCCTCCGCCGTTCGTACCCCCGCGCGGGCCTCTCTATTTCTCGGCGGACCCGCTTGGACCTCAGCTCGTTCCCAGCGACAATGCTCCAATCCTAGCATTTGTTGGGGAGCCGACGAATAACGAGCCGTGGGACGACACGGACACGGGTGGGGACGATGTACGGCGGCTGCCCTCTGCGAGATGCATGGCCGACCCCGCGGTCCAAGCGGGTGCTGCGCGGCTGCAGACTATCTTCACTACGACGATGGGCTTGCTCAGCGCGTTCACCACGAGCTGGTGGGGTCATTTCGGGGAACGGCATGGACGGACGAGAGTTCTCGCTTTCACCACGATTGGGCTCTTAATGACGTGCGCGCGATCGTGTCGATGACGGTTATGTAGCTTACCTTGGGCGTTTGTTTAGGGACCTCATCTTCATATTATCATCTACGCCGTCTTCACCCTTCTCCTCCCATGGTCACAAACTTCTACTGGTCGCGCCCATCATCGAGGGACTGCTCGGCAGTGCTTCAACTCTTCAATCCGCAACTTCAGCCTATATTTCGGACTGCACATCGAGTGGTAGTCGGGCCTCAGTGTTCTCTCGGTTCACGGGTGTGTCATTCCTCGGATTCGGAGTAAGTGCAGTTGCGCCCTGGTCGCAGCGACAGTCACTCACACGCTCACACAGCTTGGACCCATCATCGGTGGATATCTCATCCGCAATCCTATATCGTTCTTGGATGGTCCGCCCCACCCTGGGCAGGTCAACACGCCCTCCGTGACCTCTGTGTTCTGGGTCGCGATCGTCCTTCAATTCATCAACTTGTGTCTTGTTGCGCTGGTCTTCCCCGAGTCGGTGTCCAAGGAACAACGCGCCCTTGCTGCTGGCAATCACAAGGGCAAGGGCAAGGCTAGAGATAATTCGACTAGATTAGCCGACGTCGCCGAGGAAACAGAGGTCGAGTCCGGATTCTTGACAAGGCTTCTGTCTCCTTTGGCTGTTTTCATGCCGGTGTCGATTACTATTCCTGGGACGACGCGGAAGAGAACTGACTGGAGCCTGACGTTTGTTGCCTGTGCGATGTTTGGATATATGCTTTCCACTGTTGGTCCTTGTCCACTTGGTTTTGTGCTTTGTACAATGACGCATTTTTGCAGGGACTGTATCAAATCAAGTATCTATATGCCGGCCATGTGTATGGCTGGGGTGCCGAGCCGCTCAGCTACTATATATCACTGTTGGGAACCACGCGTGCCGGTTTCCTGTTGTTTGTATTTCCCCGTGCGTTAGCGTCCATGTTCTACCCTCACAGCAAACACTCAAAGAATTCTAGTGATCATCTCTACTTTCAAACCCAAGTCCGACGCTCCCAAGGACAAGGCGATGTCCAAAGCCGAGAGACCTAAGCCGACCAAGGGGCAACTTGCCAAAGAAATCCGATTCGACATGGGGCTCAGCCGGCTCTCGTTGATCACCGATATCCTAGCCAACACAGCGATATTGGTTTCTCCGGCTCCGACCTACAAGATGCATTCGAATCTTATGAACGATCTGGTGCCGCCGTCCACGGGCAACTCGGAGTTCCAGAAGTCGCAAGCGTTGTTTGTTTTTGCTAGCTGGGTGCAGTGCATGGGCGCTGGTATTGTTCCTGCCATCCAGAGTCTTGCCTTGTGCATCGTACAAGCTCGCTCGTTGCTTGCCTCCGAATCTGGCCAACTGCAAACGAAAGATGCTGGTGCCGGTGCATTGTTCGGTGCACTGGCTGTTTTGCAAGCTAGTGGGCAGATGGTTCTTGGGGTGCGAAGTTGTCTTTCCATCGATGCTGTGCCGTACTCACCTCTGTTCCAGCCTCTTCTGTTTGGCCTGGTATATAGCGGCACTGTTTCAGCGTTCCCAAAGACGGTGTTCGTACTCTCGATCGGCATCCTCATCACATCGTTCATCGCCATTCTTCTTGTGCGAAATCCGCTGTCCAATGCCAATGGCAAAGGAGCTATGCGCAAACGTCGACGGGTCAGTGCTAGTCAAGAGCAAGAGGAGTCTACTCGTGGCAGATCTCGGGTCAGCAAGGATCTCGGCTATGGCAGCACCATGCAGCGACCGCCAGCGCTGGGGGAGCCATCCTCCAGCGGACGGCTGGGGTAAATGGCTAGTATTCTGTTCTATCTATTCTAGAACATATGTAGTCCTCTTTTAGTTTACTATCTATATCCTTGTATTATAATCATCATCTCCTGGCCCGGAGCACACGCAAATCACCTGTCGACACACAATCCAACACAGCCACGCTTCTTGTACACCCCCTCCCCCAACCGTTGCTTTGATCGAAAGTGCTGGTTCGCGATGGATCTTGAAGCCGCCAAAGACGTGGAAAAGGTCGACGTGGAGGGAATCGAGGGAACTTCCTTTTCGGTAAGGCAATATCACACTAGTCTCTGATTATGCTCGGTATGCAAGGTCGAATCCCAAGATCGATCCGAACCAACTCTCTCCGGGTTCCCTTGTCATCATGAACAGCGCCGATCCTTCTGCTGAGCCCTTCATCACGACGAGAGAAGCGTTCCTAAACGCGATCCCGGACAGCGGTCCGCTAGTTCGGCCCTGTGGGAACTGCCAGAACGTACCGCCCAAAGGCAAAGAGTTCTCGAAATGCGCAAAATGCGGGGGCACATACTATTGCAGGTACGCACCCTCTCAATGAGCAGTCTCTGTAAGGAAGACTTGATGACACGTTGCTTCGCAGCCGCGAATGCCAAATGTGCGCGTTTTCGCCCACTCCGAGAGACTTTTCGTTATCGATCATCGTCGGTCTAGCGCCCACTGGAAGGAACACAAAGCGACATGCAAGCATCGTGTAGGAATGAATGCGAAGTTTGCGCAGGCCAAGGAGGCCGCGCTGGCAGCGGGGGAGAAGTACTTTCATCCCGCTACGTTACAGTCGTGGTATCGCATCAACCACGCTGCCATCGAGTACGCTGTACGTTTTTCGCTGCGATCAGCTCTCCAATTACTCTGGCTGAGACTGCGCATGTAGGGATTCTATGCGTTGGAACACCACAAGGGCTTCGTGCAGTCGCTGATCCGGACGCACGTCGCGCTGTTCCTGGTACGTGTGGACGAAAACGCAACAGAAGACCCGAGGGCCGTCCGCCTGGAAAAGGTCGTTCCGATCCTGCTGACGGAGCTGGCTGCGATGCTGCGGATGACCGAGTCGAATCTCGCGCAGTGCAAGAGGGCTGCGCGCATGGGCCAGATGGCTCTGTTCTTCATGGACATGAAAGCCAATCTGCAAGTGCTCGAGTTCCACGAGCCGCCTTCACCCGAGCCGTATCTCAATGGGACGAAACCACTCGACCCATTCTGGGAAATCCATGTCATGCTCAAGGTCAATGGGGGCCTGCCAGCCGAGGAAGAGGAGAAAACGGAGACAGATGCTACGGCGGAAATGCCTGCGGTGGAGGCGCAGTTAGAGCCGGAAAAACCGGCGGAAACAGACCCTGCAAGTAAATGAAATGTATTTTATCGCGTTCTGTCACGGCTGTTATTCGTCGCGCGTCGTCACGGATCACGTGTCGTGAACACTGGTGAGATCGAGCGCCGCGGCTCGCCTATCATCTTACCCTTATCTTTTCTTCACAGCGGGAGAACGCCCGTCTCGAATCGGAGTCCAGACTCCCATGTCATGATTCCAAAGAAGAACAATATTCCCTCATCCAGCAAGCAAACATAAGAGATGTGAGCAACGACATGTAATACCAGTGCGACGCATAGCGCTAGAGCGCCATAGCTGCGGAGCCGGAGCTCCTTAAGTGGGACCCGTCGATCAAAAGAAGCGTTCAACATGTCCGCTCGTGGAGGCGCCTGTTTTGTTATCTACGTCGAATGCTTATCAAGACCTCCCTTGCGCGTAGCTTCCATCCTCTCTTCAGTCTTCACTTCTACTTTCGAAGATGTCACAATGGCTGAACAGGTCGGCGTGGGCCCTCGAGCCCGAAGCGTCGACGTTTGCGCCGAATTCGCGGTGGAGCAATAAGGACATGGATCCCGTGCCGGAGAAGTTAAGGACCTGGACGACTTGGGTGCGTGGAAGCTAGGTGTACATTTTTGCGGTGATAATGATAAACGAGTTTGAAGAATTATGTGGCTTATTGGATTTCGGATGCAGTGAGTCGTGAGGACGTCTTGCGAAGTTTCGGCGACTAAAACTACTGAACAGACGAATACTGTGCGTGTGAATGGCTTTGATTGACCTCTCGATATTCAGCAGGACATACACAGGCTTCATGGGAACTAGCGAGCTCGATGATTGCGGTCGGGCTTTCATGGTGAGGATAGTGTTGTGATTAACCGACGTGCTAACATTGCGACCGCTCGAAGGCGACAAGCACTCCCTGCTATTGCAGTCGGTCACATCATTATCGAGTAGCCATGGTACGGTCGTACTCGGCTGTCACGCAGAGCACATCACAGACCGTTCGAGCAGGTCCTCAACGGGACCGCGGGCGCGCGGCTGCATATACCGTTCCCGGTGCTAACGCGATCCTCGTTCGGATTTTGGCTCAGCTACTTTGCGGTGATCTCACGGGTGGTTCTTTCAATGTTCTGGTTCGCAATCCAGGTGGGAGGCCTCTCTGATCCGTATTCGAAGACTCTTGTTGAACAGCTGCAAAGACGTATACGGGATCCGAATGTGTTTATCAAATGCTGAAAGCAATTTGGCCCTCTGTTGCCCACATCCCCAATCATCTGCCGGCGTCTTCAGGGATAACCACGGTTGGAATGATGTGCTATTGTGTGTGACTGGACTTTCTGTGTGGCATTTACGTTGAACAGAACTCAGTCCTGTACTGGCTGGGGCAATTTCCGTTCTTACTCATCTCGCCGCAGCGGATCCGGTACCTATTCGTTCTCAAGGCAGCGATTGTGCCCGTGACATGGCTGGCGATGTTGATCTGGGCACTGCACAAGGTCCCACCGAGGCTCAGTCTCCAGCCGCAGCACGAGACGCTTACGGGCAGTGCGGCGAGCTGGGCCTGGTTGAGCTCGCTGAACAGTGCACTGGGCATCTACGCGACTCTAGCAGTCAACATCCCTGACTTCACGAGATACGCTCAAAACGAGCGGGCCCAGTACGTGCAGCTTGCTATTATTCCGGTGGCGTTCACTCTGGCTGGGTTCTGCGGCATGGCTGTGGCGTCGGCCAGCGAGCATCTCTATGGGACGATCATCTGGGACCCACTTCAACTGATTGACCGCGGGACAACCGCGCCGCTGCCTTCTTCGCTGCGTTCAGTTTCTCGCTTGCCAGTGCGCAAAAGCTTTCGGTACTCATGGGATGTCTGTGACTTACCCAATCCACAGCGCTGGGGAC